GCTACATGAGTAACTATTACAAACTCTCGCCTGATCGATGATTCAAATTATTTTTCAAAAACCCGGATTCAATAATGTCTTTATTTTTCATCCAACCTAATTTAAATGTAGGAGATGCCAAACCGGAATTTCTAACTTTGTACACTATTTTTAGTGGTAGGGAAATAACAATTGAGTAGGCAAATGCTTGTTCTTTTTAAATTTCGCTATCATTTTAAATCATCACCATACGTTTTCTTATTAATGAACTTTTCGCATTAATTCGAAAAAGATAAATGCCACATCGATGAAAAGTGGGTTAAAAGAACAGAAGGAAATGCAAGCTTTTAAGGAAGAGTATGATTTGCTATTAACAACTAACATATTAGGTGATAAAATACTAAAAGAAACATCACCATTTTCTTTTAATTAGAAAACCTCTACTAGTACAAAAACTATTAATGGTTATTACTATCTTAAGTTATTGTTTAACAGATTTTTTAACTATATGCTTTGATTGCAGCAAAAGCTTATTAGCAAAAGGTAGAATAATAATTTATCCTGATAAAGTAAAAAATATTTTTTTAAATATATTTTTAGCTCTGCTATAAATAAAAAATGCAGACAGAAAATATTATTTTAAATTCTTCTCGTATACAATATCTACAAAATAAAATATTTTAAATTTTGTATTATTTTTAGCAATTATAAATTTTACATAATGTCTTAGCTCTTGAATCAACAACCATTTTTACCACGTTTATATCAACTTGCCTTCTTGTATGTCTGTTCTGGTGGAATTTTGTAATCGATTTTAAACTAACTTCCCGACTAGCTACAAACTTCAAATTTCGCACATAGCTCAGAATTAGATGACAATGCACGAAAATGGAGAGAAAAAAGACATAAAAAGTAAAATAAAATTAAAGAAAAATTAATATTTTCGCGATTGTCTTTTGTTGCCGATTCTATTATTTCAAATTAGTGTCACATGTCAGTTGAAAAGTTTTATACATAACAGAACATATACACATACATATACACGTTTTCTTACTCACGCACATGCACAACCACATACACATCCACATTCAGATACAATTACCGGTATACATACACATATTCTCATGAGCACACATACTGTTATGTATTTTTTGCGCCCCACGTTTTCGTTTTTCAAATTTTTGTTTTTTAATTATTATTCTCCACTACAAAAACGTGGTTTTTAAAAATTTTGCTTTTTATTTTGATTTTTTTCATAATTTAAAGTTATCATAATTTAGTTTTATTACTTAATCAAGTAGAGAGATTTATTCAAAGCTAATAACATGCTACAATAAGTTACTTTCTTTAATGCTCAATTACAAAAAATGGTATTATGTAATAACCAAAATAGTGATTGGATATATTTGTTTATCTATAGTGGTTATTACTTTCTGTTAATAACTGTTTTAGCTTAAAAAAGCATTTTGCTATGTCTGACTTCAGGTCCAGATATAAATATAAATATTTATAGTATTAACATATTATGGTAGAATAAACTATTTTGTTTCTTTAAGATGAAACAAACTATCTTTTTTCCCTTTAAAAAAAGAACCGTCAGTTCAAAGGAACGCCAGTTTAATAAATTATTAAATAAAAGGAAAGGAAAAACTGTAGAATAACATTTATCAAAAATAATGTAAGTCTATATGCAATAACCTACAATAATTGAAGAAACGACAGGGATAGCCTGATTAGCAGGGCGTTGAACTAACGTTTGTGAGAACGGGAGATCGAATCCAACCAGCCGAAGATTCTCCGTGTAGTAAATGGTAACTGGTGCACGCTAAATCTGTTGGGTCACAAAGTCCTCCATGTTTCCATAGCAAATCAATAACTCTGGGGGTAATGAATTGGAGATTGAGAGTTCTCTGGTTCAGATCAAAATTACGATCTGTTAATGAATAGATATATGAATGGGTCCACAGTGTGCGGGTGGGTGACCACTTGGATCAGTCTGCGTAGGGACCGACTTCGCGTGCAAGTCGTCGGGCTACCAAAGCGGGGGTGCCATCCCCTCTGTGGAGAATCAAAATTGTGATGGCTTGTCTTCGGATCATCCTCAGAGATGTTTCCCAGACCGTTGCCAATAGCCCAGTAGTCAATAGTAGTCGTAAACCCAAAAATTGGGTCGGCTGTTTAACGGCAGTCATAAAATAAAAATAAAAATAAAATAGCCCATTGTGCAGCTCTAGTGTGACGTAAATGAACAAATCAAAATCAAAAGTAAAAGCAACCAAATAAATGGCTTTTGTGCCATGCTCTAAATTATCCCAATAAAATTACGAAAATGATCTTCAGAGCTATAAATCATCTTAACATTTATTTGATAATTTGATGTCTTTACTTCTGACAAAAATAGAAGAGTAATAATATGTTTACACTTCCATGTTTATTTAAAAAATCAGTTTAATTAAATGGTTGATGGGAGTTAGATGACTGTTAATTATTTATTATTCTGATATAATTTTTTCGATTATAAAACAAGGGGATTGAATGTTATTACGGGATTCGAACCCACTACATATAAGCTTCAGGGCGGTTAGCGGAATAGCAATACTGCACGAAGAGTAAAACAACATATATTATTTGGGGCCTTTGTCCTTTTGCTAAACGAACAGAATCGTAGAGATAATGGGTTCGATATCTTTGTGCTGTTTTTCTCATTTTTATGCTGCCTGTTCAGCAGTTTGACAAGAGACAAGTCATTCCTTGCCTTAAGGAAACAACCATATATATGTATCTAAACCAGAGCCGGATTATACCTTTCGTAGGCCCTAGGCATAGCCGTTTTTGGGGCCTCCCCTCCCTCCCCCACTCCTCCCCCCTTTTCAAAAAATATGCTAAAATTTTTTTGCATATTTTTTTTTACATTTTTATTAATATGGATTTTAATTTACAAATTTGTTTATCGAGCTTTATCTGCAATACCGACATACTGCCGATATTGCAGTTGATATTGATAATACCATTATGATTAGTTCGATCGATAACTATGTATGCATTTCACGTCAACAATACAACAACAAACCAGCAAAGAAAGCAGTGAAATTGATAGTGAGATTAATTACAAGAAATATTTTCTATATATATTTACAATTTTCAAATTTGTATGAACATAAATCTGCGCAAGAAATGTTGAAGGCTCAAATTGAAGATAAACTTGTGAATACTTTTCCTAACGTTCACATTGCATTAAGAATATATTTGTCGATTCTTGGATCAAATGCAGAAGGAGAAAGATCTTTCTCCAGATTAAAATTGATAAAAAATTATTTGCGTTCAGCAATGAATCAAGATCGTTTGGCATCGCTCGCACTTATGTCTATTGAATACGACATTTTGCGTAGTTTGGAATTCGACAGCATAATACAAGATTTCGTTGAATCCGAAAAAGTAATATATTAGATCATAAGATTCTGCAAAATAATTTATTACTAAAAAATATTATATTTTTATTTGTATCTTCATAATTTTGCGCAAAATACACTTGTTGTTTTTAAAGCTAAATTATTTTTGTCAACAAATTTTTTTCTCCCAAGTTTTTCGTAGGCCCTAGGCACGTGCCTATAGGTTAATCCGGCCCTGATCTAAACTTAATTTACTGTTACACATTTCAGGGCTTCATCTACCTCCATTTTAAATAACGATTGTCGGAAAGACGAGATCGGTATAAAAAGTTAAAAAAAAAAAGCATTACTATTCCTAGAATTTTTTTATATTCAGTATTACACACATAAGCTTATGTACTCATTACAAAACACCCTTTATAAGTCGTTTATGTTTATGTGTGCGCTATCTATCTCGTGATGACCCGCAATGGATTTATCGTATAGACACGGTTCCCATTAGAACACCGAAGTCAAGCATCAGTGGCTGCGGTCAGTAAGCGGGTAGGTGACCACTTTGATCTGCGTAGGTACCGAGAGCACGTGGCAGCGGTCCTCGTTAAACTGTTCTTCCGTAAAGTGCTCGACCCTGCTTGTCGGGCGATCGAAGCAGGGAAGCCATCCCCTCTGCAGTGGAGCAAAATTGCGATAGCGTGTTTTCAGTATATTATTTTTTTAAAAAAATTAATTATATAATTATTTTTTTTTTTAAAAATGGGTTAATTTTCTTTCATTTTCAATGTAAATAAATATTGAGGCAAACAGGTGTTGCTCAGGTGATTAATAATCTAGAACGATGCGGAAAATTTAAATCATATTTAAATGAAATTATTATAATCTTGTATTTTTAGATATAATTAGAAATAAATATAACGATATGCCTATATTAATTGGATAAATACCACGCATCTGATTAAAAAATGAAACTACAATTCTTTCCCTTTATGCATATTATATTCCCTTTATATTATTTCTTAATCAAATAATTATTTTTTAAAAAAAATTGGTTAATTTTCACTCATTTTCAATTCAAATAAATATTGGGGCAAACAGGTGTTGCTCAGGTGATTAAATAATTTAGAAAGATGTCGAAAATTTAAATCATATTTAAATGAAATTATTATAAGCTTGTATTTTTAGATATAATTGGAAATAAGTATAACGATATGCCTATATTAATTGGATAAATACCACGCAGCTGATTAAAAAATGAAACTACAATTCTTTCCCTTTATGCATATTATATTCCCTTTATATTATTTCTTAATCAAATAATTATTTAAAAGAAAAATTGGTTAATTTTCACTCATTTTCAATGTAAATAAATATTGGGGCAAACAGGTGTTGCTCAGGTGATCAAATAATTTAGAAAGATGTCGAAAATTTAAATCATATTTAAATGAAATTATTATAATCTTGTATTTTTAGATATAATTGGAAATAAATATAACGATATGCCTATATTAATTGGATAAATACCACGCACCTGATTAAAAAATGAAACTACAATTCTTTCCCTTTATGCACTTAATATTCCCTTTCTAACCGTGGAAAATCCCCTTTCCGAGTTACTTCGGATGAGAATATCCCTAAAATCGATCCCGGAGTAGGAGAAATCCCGAAAAGTCTCCAAGACACATACACACACACCTATCTACCTTAGGTTGTGTGTGATCTCGACTCCGGAATAAAATACGCACGCATTGAAGCTCCGAGCGCAGTTTGAAAGAGAACTCCCAAATACAAATAGTATCTTCATCTTCGATTAAAAACTTGTGCGTTGAATCTACTCCCTGTTCATCCTTTTCTCCCTCTGCGGCGGCTGTTGACAGTTCTTAACGAAAACAATCTCGGACAGGCAGTTTTCGTCTACTCTTTCATTTATTTCCTGTTTTTCATAACAAGTGAGTGAGATTTTTTTCACTGCATGTTTGTGTCAGTATGGTGTTTTTTTTCACACCTGTTTTATTTTTATTTTTAAAGACACGTGCTTTTGAATTAAAAGGTTTTTTTACAATGGGATTTTAGCGAAAACCGTAAAAATGTGTGAAAATCTGAATATGCGTTTTTGTTAAAGTAATTCTTTTGTATATATTTCTTACATTCATTGTAAAATTAGTGCTATTCAATAATTTAAAATTTTTTATTTTGCTATTTGTATTACGTTTAGTCTAATCTTTCATTATAAAAGTGAAACTTTAATAAATGCATTTAAATCCTATATAATATAAAACTGACCGAAATCTTCTATTTGTTTTCTTACGTGTAAATTTGCAAAAACTCACTCCTTAGATTTCGTTGAGTAGTTCTGAAATGAAATTTGTTTGAAATTCAAAACAACAGTATATTTGGTATAATTAAAATGCTAACATGGGTGTGAATTTGTATTTTTCCAGAGGAGACAAAGTCTAAAAATAAGCTTAGAAAAGAGCTTAAAATATTTTTTAAAATATAAGTATACTTTCTTGCTTTTTCTAAATTCAAAGGGAAACATATCTCTTTCTTCTGTTTCTGTTGGTCAGTCTTGATCTTTACTTAGAAGAGGAGTTATTGTATTTCTTAGACCAAAAGAGACTTCAATTCTAGATGACAAAACGCACAAGTTTTAAGCAACCAATTGAATGCTTTTTTTATTCATTGGGCAGTATTTGTTTCACGGAAATTTTTAATCTGTCATATTTTGTTTGAAGGAAAGAAAATTTTGATTTAAAACGTATGTTCTTTTATTTTTGTTTTATTGTTATTTTATATACTTATTATAAACTGTTGTACTATGTGATTTGTACTTAAGTTAAAGTGGATATTAATAACCGTTTTTTTATATGTTTAAGAACTGATTTAAGATATACATTTTTTCAATCAAATAAAAGTTTTTTTAACCACAACATAATATTTACAAGGTTTACCACTTCAAAACAAAACATTTTACCTTTTGTTGTTTACGTGTCCAAATTAGGTATTCAATCTGTAAGATTTATTGTATACAAGAATGCTATAATCATTCCTTGTTTACTTTTTAAAATATTTATATTTGGTTTTGAATTCAAAGTACAGTTTTTCTAAACTGAAAAGGTAGTAAACAGACGGAAATATACACTAATTGTAAATCCGTAATTATTACAATTATTTCTCTTGAAAAGTGACTTTCCACTTAATTGTGTTTTTTTTATTGGGCATTAACTGCTCATAAGTTTCTAATTATTTTATTGTAAAGTATGTGAATGTTTTCTTTTATCGAAATAAAAAATTTTAAGGTAGAGTGCAAAAGCATGATTTTGGACAAAGTTTCCAAAATTAAGTTTATTCCTGCAGCATTAGCTTTCTAAAAATACTTTACTTTTGCTTGTACTCCAATTATTTACAAAGTTGTGCATGATAATCGTGAGTAGACTAGTAATTTTTAGTCTTTAACTGCGTTTATCTCAAAATCAGAATTCTTCAAACTTTACACCATCTTAAACACGATACCTCATATTATTTTTAAAATAATTGTTTACAATTTTTCATAAGTGTTTATAATTATGTCACACGTTTTCAACTACAGACTAAACGAAAAAAGTAGAATTGCAGTAAAGTAGATTTTTTATGCATGTTTTTTTCTCAAAGACACGAACTGAAACAGCATTAAATGGCCTTTTCTAGTTATAACTAATGTTAAAATTTTAAAGCATTAACATAAAGGATTTAAGCTAAGTAAATGTAATGATAGTGTTGTATTGATAAATGTGTGCTGTAAAATTTTGTTTCTCTCGAGAATTAATTAAAAAATCATTTTAACGCTGCTCTTTTACTTATTTTGAGGATTCTATAAATCCTGAGTAAAAATAGCGTTGATTAAATTCACAAATTTAAATGTTAAACATTTTGTATTATATAGAATGTAGTATTTAATGGCACAATAGCGCGAAGATGCTCTTTCCAATTTTACTATGAAATTTAAGAATAACTAAAAATATCTTCGAATATCAAGAATAACTATAAGTTTTTATTAAAGTTCCTTCAATGACAGTAGCTGTTTGAGCGATCTCAGGTTTACGGGTGTTTTAAAGAGCCACAGAGGTTAAAGCACTGGACTATTGTTGCTTAGGACCTGAAGTTTTGCTAGCCACGGTGTCTCAGTTTATGGAGCACTCGTCTCACAATGTAGGGCCAGGTTTGAATACCAGTGATGGTTTGTTCCCAGCTGTTGTGTCCCTGGATCGCACCGACTACAGTGCTGACGCAAAATATCCTCAGTGGTAGACGGATCATTAATAGGAATCCCCTTGCCGTCAAGCTAACCATGAGAGGTTTTCGTGTTTTTTCTCTACTTGTTACTCTCTTGTTTCTCTACTTGTTTATACTCAAATGCAGGTTAGTTCCATCAAAAAATCTTAATTTGTCCTGATAATTGATCCCCTTTGTCTTCTGGATTGGGTTCAAATTTACGAAGCCATGAAGTTGAACATTGATAGTCGTAAATTGGGTCGGCTGATAAACGCCGGTTGTAAAATAAAATAAAATACTTTTGTCGACCCATTTTAAACTCCCCCTTTCTTTATTATTGAGTGGGATCTTTAGGCTATAACGTCGCTTTGAAACTAAACCGTGGTAACTCAAAAAAGCAAGTTTTTCAGGTTTCAAACTTTCCGCGCTAATGCTAATCGCGGCAATGCGATGACGATTTATCTGCTCTCTAAATTAACTTTATGGAACTATAAAGATAACAGGTTGTTTTTCTAAAAGGGTGACTTTTTTTTACACAAAATGACCCAAACATCTCATTTTTCGACTTTTTTGAGTTACAACTGTTTAGTTTCAAAGCGACGATATGTGTTCTTACCATAGATTATATGATTTTTCATTCCATTAACTAAAATTGAGCAAATAGTTAGTTCTCCTTGAAGGCTAGTTTGTCCCAATGATTGATCTAGCATTTCCCTTTTCTTCTAGGTTGAGTTCAAAATTACAAGACCACGGAGTTGATTATTCATAGTTGCAAAACCGAAATAAATTTTAAACAAGTAAATATTTAATTCCAAGAAAAGCTGATATTTTAACGATTATAAAAAAAATATTTAATTATGTTCATTGGAGAGAATATTGCTGCGATTTATTTGACATGGCAGTATCAGCAAAAATAAAAAGGTTCACAATGTCCATGGATAATTTTATTTTTATAAGCATTTTACGATTATTATTTATAAATAAGACACTATCTACTTAGAAATTTATTTCTCAGTAGTTATCATATCTAAGAACTTAAACATTCATCACAAAATCGTTTCGAAAAATTAGTAGGAAGTTAAGAACGCGGAGGAACTTGTATATACTCGAGTGAATTTTAAAAATCCTGGTTAGGAATATATTATAAAATTGCATAAAAATTTTATCCTGTAGATAGAAGCCGATTCCATATTTGAAATCAGCTCCGTGAAAATATCGGCGATCTGTTTGAAAATGTGAAAAAAAAACATAAGAGAACAAAAGTAAATTTGTTCCCCAATACGGCAGCATTTTTCAAGTAAGTGATCGTGATGTAGGCGAGGAAATAACATAATATTCAAAAAATGTCGTGCTGTGCGTTTGTTTGAATTGGAAAATGCTTCGATAATGACGAGAGAGACGTGATGCCTCAGGGGATAGACATGATGGTGGCCCGTGAAGCCTTTTTTTTGTGGCCCGCGAACTAAAATATATAAGTTTTTTTTTGCGGATAATTTTCGTAAAAAAATCTTAATGGGTTTAAAATACTTTTGTTTCGTGAAAAGGGCCTAATTTCTTCGTTTCTGTGAAATTTAACATACCAACGGTGCAAAAAAATTATTTTCTCAGGTAAAAATCTACTTCGTATTTTCATTTGTAATCAATTCTTTTGTTCTGTACAACTTGATAAAAATCTGACTGTAATATTTAATGTTCCTTCAAACTTAAGAGTCCTATATAAAATTTTGATAAAGTTGCGGTCCACCATTTGACTGATGTTTTTGGTTGCGGCCCCCGGCCTTATTTAAGTTGGAAACCCCTAGGTTAGAGCGCTCACCTTCCAATGAGGTGAACTGGGTTCGAATCCCAGTGATGGCTTGTAGATACGAATTCTGCATCCGGCTTGCACCGACCACAGTGCTGACGTAAAATATCCTCAGTAGTAGACGGATCATGAGTTAGTCCCTTTACCGTCAGGCTAACTGTGGGAAGTTTTCTTGGTTTTGCACTCCATGTGACGCAAATGCGAGTTAGTTCCATCAAAAGTCCCTCACGAAGGCAAAATTTTCCCAATACTTGATTCAGGAGTTCCCTTGTCTTCTGGATTGGGTTCAAAATTACAAGGCTATGGCGTTAAATATTAATAGTCGTAAATCCAAAAACTGGGTCAGTCGTTCAACGACGGTTATAAAATAAAATAATGGCGAAACACTCAGTCTTTGGCGAATTCTGTGGAAACAAGGGTGAAGTCCGAAAAAAGTAAACATCTTAAAATTCAAACGACGCAAACATAAGTGGTGAAAATTAAGATTTTCATATCGCAAATTATAACGGTACATAGCAGAGCTATCAAAATTCAGAAAGCTTGGACGAGAGGTGTTATGTTAAATTATCATAAAATGTTGTGAAAGCTTCGATATTAGTCACAAATGAAGAAAAAAACGGCTTATAATTAAATTTAGTTTATCGCTTCCTTTTTCACTTATATATCAAAATGAAATATTCTAAGGGGGTTTTTAAATGGGAATTAAATACTGTTTTGTTGCAAAATTTTTTGCATTGATCGCAATTGCTCAGAAATGGTATAAAAATATCTCCACTTAAAAATCAAATTTTTATTCGTACGTTCCGCTTAACGTAAAAACTTTAAAAATGCAGTTAGTTAACTTTTTTAGATAAAAACTTCCGATTTTGAAAAATTAAACTGAGTCTTATTCGA